AAAAACAGAGCATTCTAATGTTAATCAAACAGTTCTGGTGTTGGGCCTTAAAACGGTTGATATTCTAGTTGAAACCTTCAGAATAAGTGGAAGTCATATTCCTCTATAATACAATTTTTCGTTTATTTTGCAAACAATACATAGCAAATATAACATGTTAAATAACATTTCAAATAATTCGTGGAATCTAAATTGTTAAATTTTCAGATAAGGTAAAGGATCCATTTCTCTATGTTTTGGTTTGTTGTTTTCATCAATTCGAGCACCTAACATTTCCAACTATCTTAACAAATTGTACTAAAATCAGATACAATTGAAATTTGTCATATTATTGTTGGTTACAAAATGGAGTATTTTGTGACTACTTTAAGACGTTACCAGAAGTTTAAATGGATTGCAAGGAACGACAACTCTGTATGAGAGACTGGTCCGATAAAGGGACTCACTCCACTAATTCATTTGCCATCTCTTCGCATGTTAAAACACGAAATTCAGCCTTCTACAACTTTTTCCAGAAATCTCCTTGAAAGCTTTCCAATATGTCTAGTCGAATGAAAGCCTGATCAATCCTTAATGTCTCCTAAAAAAAATTCAATATATCATGACCATGAAAAATCTAGACCAAAAATTACTCAAAAATAGGAATGCAAAAAACCCTAAAAGGGAAAGAAGATTTCTAAACATTCGTATACATAAATGTTTTAGCGGAGTGAGTCCTATATGTTCTGGTGTATATAAGTCCTGTAGTTTCAGAAAGATTTGATAAGCCAATTGGTATTTGTAACATCACAGCTCAGTCAAGTTTTTCTAGAATTACAGGAATAGAATAGACGCTCTTCCTTTTAAAAACCAATTTAAACCTATATTGGACAAACAAGGTTGGCTACACTGCTTTCGTCATTGAATATCAAGCTCGTGAAAAAAACAAGTCTACCTGCCTCTGTTTGTTGATAATCCACGTCATTCGGCAATTCTCGCCAGTTTCCATAAAGCGCATGCGTAACTTTCACGGAAGGTCGTTTATGTAAAAGAATTCATAAAACAATGAAACAAAAATGAAAAAATGAAAAAAATAAAATTAAATCATAATTTTATAAACAAAAATATTTATAGAAAATAGTAAACAAAAATATTCATAGAAAATAGTAAACAAAAAATATTTATAGAAAATAGTAAACAAAAAATATTTATAGAAAATAGTAAACAAAAATATTTATAGAAAAT